AGGGAGCTCCTCAGCTGCTGCTCTGACTCTGAAGTGGCACCCGGGACTGATGGAGGGAACCTTGTCTAACTTGCACAGGAAGAGTTGACTCCTCTGGTTTTCCTAGAAGTGCCAGGCTGTTGGCAAAGCCTGGGACAGGTTCTGGTGCAGGGGCCGTCCCTTCCCAGGCTCCCCTGGCCCAGTCTTAGAATGGATGAGGCCGCACCTGGAAAGCAGTGTGTCTGTTTCTGAGTCAGGGCTTTTCCTTGCCTGCAGTGTGTGCCCTCTGTGCATTTCTAACAGTGAAAAATCTCTGACCAGGCCCTGCTGGCCTCCTCTAGTCCTCAGGAGGGTCTCATTCCAGATCGCATTTATGACTGTCTTTCCCAAGACCAGGGCCTGCCCCTCTTTTTTCCTCCAATAAAGATCTGAGGAGAAGGTCACTCTGAGAGCAGACAGTGGATGCTGAGGGAGGTGCCTGCAGCAGACTGGGGTGGGGGAGGTCTGGGAACTCCCTGCAGGCTGGCTGGAGCCAGGGGGACTAAGGACAAGAACAGGGTCCAGAAAGGGAGTGACCCAGAGGAGCTGATGGGGGCAAGAGTAAGTGCGGAGGAGAAAGATGGCAGCAGGGTCGGGGATCTGGTTCTCTGGCTTTCACAGACCCACATCCCTGATAAACTGGGGACTTGGGTCTGCGACCGCGAAAGGACTTGGGCCTGGTTGTGGGGCTGTGAGTTTCCAAGGCCCTTTGATTTCGCCCTGGTCTACATGAGGTTCCAGTGGCTGCCCGACCCCACCCCAGGGACAGAGAGGCAGCCTAGCAGGGAGACCTGGGGAGAGAAAGTCCGTGGCGAGCACCCACCCTGGATGCAAAGACAAGGGACAGGTCAGAGGGAGGAAGCCTTGGCGTGCGGCCAGGGGAAGGGAGGCACTTCGGATATGGGACAGTTCTGTCTCTGCACTTGTCACAGCCTCACAGGACTGTGAGAATTGAACTCTGCAGGAGGGAATGAGGCAGAATGGGGTCTGGACTGGAGTCCCTGCCATCCAAGTGACCCCCTATCTATTCCTGCAAACCAGGGGAAGGTCTTGCTAGATGTAAGTCAATCCCGGGCCTATCAGACTGCCTGGCACTTTCTCATGGATCCGGAAGGAGCACAGTGATCCTCGGGCGAAAACATCTTGCATCGTCCAGGGCTAAGGATTATCAGGTGGCCCTGGATGGGGAGACTCAGGGGAAAACCACGGAGAAGATTTTGGTACATTTGACACTCTTAACGCCCAGTGCCTCCCCTTCCTATTAGTCGGGCGTGGCAGCAGGAGAATCACTTGAACTCGGGAGACGGAAGTTGTGGTGAATTGAGCCTGTGCGACTGCACTCCAGCCTGGGTGGGCCAAAAGAGCAAAACTCTGTCTCAGAACAACAACAACGATAACAACAAAACTTCCACTGAGTGCCTGGGATGCGCCGCCTGCTCTTCTGGGTGTAGTCTATTATTTTACAAATTGGATTTGTGGTCTGTCTCACCTGAGTGCATTCGGAGATTTGGTGTTTATTTTACCTGATATAAGTATAACTACTTTTGCAATTTTTTTGCTTTCCAGTTGCATGAAATATCTTTTTTCACCCCTTCATTTTCAGTCTACATGTATCTTTCTAAGTGAAGTGAGTTTCTGAAAGACAGCATATAGTGGGGTCTTATTTTATTCATTCAACCACTCTATATCTTTCCATTGAAGAATTGTGACCTCTTATATTCATTGCTAATATTGTCTCTCTTTGTATTTAAGTAATTTACTCTGTTATGGAATCCTTGGGATGTCACTTTTCTGGACAGAAACCTCTGTTGCTGGGCATCTTTGCAAGAGTTTTGATTGGGTCCTTCTCCCCACTCAGCCTGGTAGACCAGGCTTGGCTCATGATTCAGGTCTGGATCACATGCTGATTAAAGGTGGGTCAGGGGTGGGTCGGGGGTTGGCAGGGTTTGGCCACTTTGCACAGTCACTGGCTGCTGCAGCAGTGGGGCAGGCAGTTCCAGGTGCCAACACGGATGCCAGATCACTACAAGCCTGCAACTGATCCAGTTGCAGCACAATCAGCTTTCACAGCTTGCACTTGAGTACATGGTGGGGTCTGAAACTTGGAAATGCCAGGAACTGCAGAACCCCCCAAAGAGAGTCATAGCCTTGGCCCGGGAAGCTCCCACGTCTGGGCTGCTGGACAAGTAGCAGCTCTTCAGTTTTTCTCTTCACCCACAACATGGTGAGCAAGGGGCTTTGTTTGTGTTTTTGCTCTTTTAGCCGCACCGTTAGGTGGGTCCCAAGTTCTTGTCCCACGTACAGGAAGAATGAAATACACAGACACGTGGAGGATGAGCAAGATAACCAGGAGCTTTATTGAATAGCTTTACTGAACAGCTTTACTGAACAGCTCGGAGACCCACAGCGGGTAGCTTCTTTCTGCAGCCGGGGTGTCCTCATGAGTGTTCAGCTCTGAGAAGAAAAGAGGCCCTGGGGTTGTTCCATCATCACCACAGCTCTCAGGAGAGAGGAGGCCCTGAAGTGGGTTGTCACTCTCTCCAGGAAAGTCATCTCATCATCTCCACGGCTCTCAACATGGAGGAGGCCTGAAGTGGGTTGTTTTGCCTGCAGGAAAACCATCCCAGTAGTGGGTAGCTCCTCTCTGCTGCTAGGTGTCCCAATGTTCTCCCTGGGTCTGGCTGAGTCTGGGGCTTTTTTAGGCATTAGTGGGGATGAAGTGTTTGTTGATTGGGTCATAGGTGGCCATGAGCAAGCAAAGAAGAGGCATCACATGTTCCCACTCTGGTCCACAGGACTGGTAGCCCAGCCCACCAGCTTCAGGCCCTCCCTGGTCAGACAGTGAAACCTCACCAGGGACCCTCGCTTTCCCGCCCAGGAGTTGGTCTCTTGGCCACCAACATTCATGGCACCCAGATCACATGCACCAGGGAGCATCCAAAGGCCAGTGCTGATCTGTCCTCAGCCCCCTCCCATGCTGGTCAGTGCCCAAAGTCCAGAGGGTTCAAGACAGCAGGAAGACATTGCCTCAGGACTGCCCCAAGCATACACAAATCCACTTAGGCTGCAACAGCATCTGGGCTCCACCCCAATCCACCTCCAAAATTACAGCAGGTGCTGGGAGAGACAAGGTGTGGGAGCAGACATCCCCAGCTGCAGGGGAAGGGGGAAACTCCTGGGCCCTCCAGAGCACTGGGGGACCTCAGTTGGTACTTGCGACCTGGGCAGCTTCAGTTGCGCCTTTGGAGCTACTGCCCTACCAACTCAGGAAGATCAGGATTCCTTCTTGTTCCAGGCTCCCATCAGCTCCAAAGTGTATGCAGCCTTGGCTGTGCCCTCTCTCTGTGTTTCCCCACAGAGGTGATAGGTTCATAGCAGCTCTGGCCAACGCCACACAAACAAACCCAATGCTCCTGGGTTTGGAGCCCCAGATGCACTCTTTTCAAGAAGATTGCAGGCTAACAGTACGCAGTGAGGAGTGAGGTCGAGGCTTGGTAGAGCCTTCAGACCTGGGAGCGGGTCCCGTTTAGCCATGAGACAGTATGGGTGACACAGTTGGCTGCCTCAGTGACATGGGGCACAGGCCCAACAATCGGGAGCGTCAGGCTCTGTGGTCACCCCTGTGGTGGGCAGATCTTGGAAACACAGCTTCGGGAGGATTTCCACAGAACCTCCCTTTGAGGCCCAGGAAATTGATGCTGTTAGCAGGGCGGGCACAGTGGCCGCACAGCTGACCAGGTCATTGAACCAGGTGCCATTTCTGCTTCCCAACCACACCCCTGGAGCATGGCCCCAGCTCTGCTTTCTGAACCTGGCAATCACACTTCATGTGCAAGTATGGCACCACCCCAAGTCCATCTTCTCCTCAGAGCCGCTCTCTGCCCCACCCTTTGTGCCCGACTGAGTTGCTCCCTAAAGGTGAAAAAGTAAGGAAAAAAACAGATGACTTAAGAGAAGAATGGGTGGAGACCATTGGCACACCTGTAATCCCAGCACTTTGAGAGGCCAAGGTTGGTGGATCACTCAAAGCCAGGAACTCAAGACCAGCCCGGTCAAAATGACAAAACTCTGTCTCCACTAGAAATACAAAAATTAGCCAGGCTTGGTGGCACGTGCCTGTAGTCCCAGCTCCTTGAGTGGTTGAGGCATGAGAATGATTTGAGCCCTGAAGGAAAGGATTGCAGTCAGCCCAGATTGCACCATTGCACACCAGCTAGGGGGACGAAGTGAGACTTTTCTCTCCAAAAATAAAATAAAATAAAAAGAACAAGAATTGGTGAGAATTTCTCAAAATGATCTAATTTTATTTGATTGCTTTGATGTTCTACAGCTGAACTTCAATCACAGACAAATTAGCACTGCGTTATTTTTCCATCAGTAACTCAGTAACTAGAGATTTCTGATGTTTAAATAGCTAAAATAAGTGAAACAAATACAGAGGACACCAGAAAGTTCTCGTTGAGGTTCCCTTTATTTCTGATATTTCTTTGTAACCATCTTTGCAGGGATAACATTCTCATCACTGTAGAACTTTAGGTTCTGTCTCTGAGGCTGTAGGACACGGGTCTCTGAAGGTCTCATTGACTCCACCTCAACATTTTCCTCCTGTCTTACCCCTACCTCTTATGTTTTTTTCCACCGCACTGAGTACTTGCCTGAAGCAAAGAGTTTGGTGATTCCTTTAAGCGGTACATGTGGCCTGGTCACAATCGCTCATGCCTGCAATTCCAGCACTTTAGGAGACCGAGGTAGGAGAATCCCATGTGCCCAGCAGTTTGAGACCAGCTGGGGCAACATAGTGAAACCCTGTCTCAAATTTTTTAAAAAAAATTTTAGAATTATTAAAGAAGAAATAAGAAATAAGAAAAATAACTTGCACCTACATACTAGATTTTAGTGTCCAAGTGCCTGGAAGAGAACTTTGGATGTATCTACCCCGCTAGGCACGCCTTCCCTAGCAGCAAAGATGGAGCTCCAGTTCCTCAGACGGTGGGTGATGAGCCGCAGGAAGGGCAGGGGGTGGGACCAATGAAGATCTTCCTGGGCTGCCTGACTTCCCTCAGTGTCCGCATCAGCTCAGCCCGAAGTGGGGTGAAGATCTTCCAATTGACAGGAACCAAGGAATCCAAACTCTCCCAAGGGGCGGGATACGTCTCCAGGCTTAACTTGCTCAGCCCACTGGTGTGGTGCAGCAGGTCCTTCAGGGCGTCCATAGACATGAAATTTCGACCAAAGTAGAAAGTGGTGAGCTGGGAGCAGCGGCTCAGACCGGGAAGGATGGCACTGAGTTGGGAGTAGTGGATCTGACAGCCCTCCAAGATGAGGGTCTCGAGAGTGGCAGCAACTTTCTCTAGCAGAGCTCTGAGGGGCTCAAGACTGAGGCGGAACAGCGGCACGTAACTGAGATTCAGATGCTTTAGGTAACCGAGGCTTGGGTACTGGGAGAGACACTTCACGTCCTCTCTCACCACTCCTATTCGACATAGTATTGGAAGTTCTGGCCAGGGCACTCAGGCAAGAGAAAGAAATAAAGAGTATTCAAACAGGAAGAGAGGAAGTCAAATCGTCTCTGTTTGTAGATGACATGGTTTTATATTTAGAGAACCCCATCGTCTCAGCCCAAAATCTCCTTAAGCTGATAAGCAACTTCAGTAAAGTCTCAGGATACAAAATCAATGTGCAAAAATCACAAGCATTCTTATATACCAACAATAGACAAACAGAGAGCCAAATCATGAGTGACCTCCCATTCACAACTGCTACAAAGAGAATAAAATACCTAGGAATACAGCTTACAATGGATGTGAAGAACCTCTTCAAGGAGAACTACAAACCACTGCTCAAGGAAATAAGAGAGGACACCAAAAAATGTAAAAACATTCCATGCTCATGGATAGGAAGAATTCATATCATGAAAATGGCCATACTGCCCAAAGTAATTTGTAGATTCAGTGCTATCCCCATCAAGCTACCACTGAGTTTCTTCATGGAATGAGAAAAAACTACTTAAAACTTAATATGGAAATGAAAAAGAACCTGCATACACAAGACAATCCTAAGCAAAAAGAACAAAGCTGGAGGCATCATGCTACCTGACTTCAAACTATACTACAAGACTACAGTAACCAAAACAGCATGGTACAGTTACCAAAATGGACATGTAGACCAATGGAACAGAATAGAGGCCTCAGAAATAATGCCACACATCTACAACCATCTGATCCTTGACAAATCTGACAAAAACAACCAACTGGGAAACGATTCCCTATTTAATAAATGGTGTTGGGAAAACTGGCTAGCCATATGCAAAAGTGAAACTGGACCCCTTCCTTACACCTCTATACAAAAATTAACTCGAGATGGATTAAAGACGTAAATGTAAGACCTAAAACCATAAAAACTCTAGAAGAAAACCTCAGGCAATACCATTCAGGACATAGGCATGGGCAAAGACTTCATGGCTAAAATACAAACCAGTGGCAGCAAAGCCAAAATTGACAAATGGGATCTAATTAAAATAAAGAGCTTTTGCACAGCCAAAGAAACTGTCATCAGAGTCAACAGGCAACCTACAGAATGGGAGAAAATTTTTGCTATCTATCCATCAGACAAATGGCTAATATCCAGAATCTACAGGGAACTTAAACAAATTTACAAGAATAAAATAACCCCATCAAAAAGTGGGTGAAGGATATAAGCAGACAATTCTCAAAAACATCTGGCCAACAAACATATGAAAAAAAGCTCATCATCACTGGTCATTTGATTTGCATTAGAGAAATGCAAATCAAAACCACAACGAGATGCTATCTCACACCAGTTAGAATGGTGATCATTAAAAAGTCAGGAAACAACAGATGCTAGAAAGGATGTGGAGAAATAAGAATGCTTTTATACTGTTGGTGGGAGCGTAAATTAGTTCAACCATTGTGAAAGACAGTGTGGCGATTCCTCAAGGATCTAGAACCAGAAATACCATTTGATCCAGCCATCCCATCACTGGGTATATATCCAAAGGATTATAAATCATTCTATAAAGACACATGCACACGTATGTTTATTGCAGTACTATTTACAATAGCAAAGACTGGGAACCAACCCAAATGCCCATCAGTGATAGACTGGATAAAGAAAATGTGGCACGTATACACCATGGAATACTATGCAGCCATAAAAAAAAATTAGTTCATGTCCTTTGCAGGGACATGGATGAAGCTAGAAATCGTCATTCTCAACAAACTAACACAGAAACAGAAAACCAAGCACCGCATGTTCTCATTCACAAGTGGAAGTTGAACAGTGAGAACTCATGGACACAAGTAGGGGAATATCACACACTGGGGCCTCTCGGGGTGTGGAGGGCTAGGGGAGAGATAGCATTAGGAGAAATATCTAATGTAGATGATGGGTGCAGCAAACCACCATGGCATGTGTCTACCTATGTAACAAAACTGCATGTTCTGCACATGTATTGCAGAACTTAAAGTATGAAAAAAAAAGAAAAAAGAAAGAAAAGAAATACCCGTAAAATAATAGGAATGTTGGCTGGTCACAACAGAAGCAAGAAAATATCAAGCACTGACTTCATATAGTAGCAAGGAAAGAGCTTGCAAAATTAGCTGCAAGAATAAGGATAAGCCTTGACCAATAAGACCCAAAGAAGCAGGACAGGGCTAAGCTGGTTGACACTGACTGGGTCTAACATGGCATTGGGTTTGACCTATGCCCTATCCCAGAGCTAATTATACACTCGTTATGACACTAAGTCACACACCAGTGCCAGGACAGTTCTGAGCATGTCCATATTTAGTATAAAAATAGGTGACATCTAGCCAGGCACAGTGGCTCGTGCCTGTAATCCCAACACTTTGGGAGCCCAAGGCAGGCAGATCAGCTGAGGTCAGGAGTTTGAGACCAATCTGACCAACATGGAGAAATCCCATCTCTACTACAAATTCAAAATTAGCCAAGTGTGGTGGCGCATGGCTGTAATCCCAGTAACTCACGAGGCTGAGGCAGAAGAATTGCTAGAACCCGGGAGGCAGAGGTTGCAGTGAGCCAAGATCCCGCTATTGCACTCTAGCCTGCGCAACGAGAGCAAAACTCCATCTCAAAATACATAAAAAATAGGTGACAGACACCTCAGTTCTAAGAAAACTTCACCATTTTTTCTTGAAATCCTAATAATTATTCCATCCTCTCCTTACAGATCCTACAAAATTAGAAACCCAAACTCCCTTGCACACGACTCACTCTCCTGAGTACGCCCTCTTAAGTGTGTACCTTTGCTTTGCAAAAGACACTTCCGTTTTGCCTCATTCTGCCCGCTTCCTAAACTCTTTCTTGCAGAGGTGTCAAGAATGTGGACACCGGCTGGTGATTGAGTCTCTCTGGCACCTGGAGATGACCTAAGCACTATGGCAGTAGGCAGAGTCTAAAAATCAAACAGGGTATCACAATTCACTCTCTGGTTTTTCTTGGCGGAAAAATCCAACAACTTTGGCCCCATATTACAACACTTGGTTGTAAGTATGTGACTTTATTTCTAGGTTTTCTGTTCCATTGGTCTATGTCTCGACCTTTATACTGGCACCATGCAGTTTTGCTTACTATTGCCTTACCATATAATTTGAAGTCAGGTAATGTGATGCTTCCATATTTGTTCATTTTGCCTAAGATTGCTTTGGCTCTTCAGCCTCTTTTTCAGCTTCATATGAATTTTAGGATTCTTTTTGTAATCTTGTGAAAAATGATGTTTATATTTTGGTGTGTGCAAATTGACGTTTTTAGATTGATGTTTGATGTTTGCAGTTTTTAGATTGCTTTGGGCAGTGTGGTCATTTTCATGACATTGTGCCTGTCAATCCATGAGCATGGGATGTTTTTCCTTTTTTTGTCATCTATGATTTTTGTCAGCAGTGTCTTCTAATTCTCCTTGTAGAGATCCTTTACCTAATGGTTAAGTGTATTCCTAGGTTATTTTTGCTGTTGTCAGTTTTTGTTGTTGCTGTTTTGCAACCATTGTAATGGGATTCTGTTCTTGATTTGATTCTCAGCTTCCTTGTTGTTGGTTTAAAACAGTGGTACTGATTTGTACGTATAGATTTTGTACCTGAGACTTAACTGAATTCATTTATCTCATCTACCAGTCTTTTCGTGGAATCTTTCGGGTTTTCTAAGCGCATATCATCATATCATTGGCAAACACAGGTAGTTTCACTTCCTTCTTTCCAATTTAAATGTCCTTTATTTCTTTCACTTGCCAGATTGCTCTGACAAGAACTTTCAGTCCTTCATTGATTACAGTGGGTGAAGTGAGCATCTTTGTCCGCTTGTAGATCTTACTGGGAATACTTTCAACGTTTCTTCATTCAACATGATGTTGCATGTGGATTTGTCATTTTTGGCTTCTATTATTTTGATGTATATTCTTTCTATGTATAGTTTGTGTAAGCGTAGTCTATTATTTTACAAACTTAAGTTTGTATTCCATTTTACCTGAGTACATTCTGCATTTGGCACCTATTTTACCTGATGTAAGTACAGCTACTGTTGCTGTTTTTTGGTTTCCAGTTGCATGGAATATCTTTTTCTACCCCTTCACTTTCAGTCTACATGTATCCTTATAGGTGAAATGAGTTTCTGGAAAGCAGCATATAGTTGGGTCTTATTCTTTTACTCATTCAAGGACTCTATGCCTTTCACTTGCAGAATTGAGATAAATTGTATTCATTATTATTATTGATAAAGGCTTAGTACTCTCATTTCATTTCTTGTTGTCTGGTTGTTTAGAGACTTCTCTCTTCCATCCTTCTTTTCTTATTGTCTTTCTTTGTGTTTAGGTAATTTTCTCTAATGGAATCCTTGGGATGTGACTTTTCTGGCCAGAAACCTCTGTAGCTTGGGGCACTTTTGCCAGAGTTTTGATGGGGTTCACTGGGTTTTTTCTGCCCACTCAGCCTGGTAGACTCTGTTTGACCCATGCTTCAGATCTGGATCACATGCCTGTTAAGGGCAGGTCAGGGCTGGAGTGCTGAGGGGTGTGTCAGTGAGCAGGGGATCTGGCCACTTTGGACAGTCACTGGTCCCTGCAGCAGTGGGGCAGGCATTTCCAGCTGCCAGCACAGGTGCCAGATTTTTGCAAGGCTGCAAATGAACCAGGCACAACACAGGCAGCTTCCATGTTTGTCCCTGGAGTACAAGGTGGGATCTGAAAACTTGGAAATGACAGAAAGTGCAGAACCCCGAAAAGGGAGTCACAGACCTGGCTTGGGAAGCTCCCACATCTGGGCTCCTGGAAGAGCTCCAGTAGTAGCTCTTCTCTTTTTCTCTTCACCTACAACTTGGTGAGCAAGGGGCACGATTCAGCTTTGTTTGTGTTATTGCTCTTTTAGCCCTACCATTAGGTGGGTCCAGAGTTCTTGTCCTATGACCAGGAAGAATGAAATATGCAGACAAGTAGAGGGTGAGCAGGACAAAGAGGATCATTATTGAGCAATAGAACAACTCAGAGACCCACAGTAGGTAACTTCTTTCTGCAGCCAGGGTGTCCTCATGAGTGTTCAGCCCTGAGCAGAGAGGAGGCCCTGGGGTGGGTGGCCCCCCTCTCCTGGCAGGTTGTTCCGTCATCACCACAGCCCTCAGTAGAGAGGAGGCCCTGAAGTGGGCTGCTGCTCTCTCCAGGAAAGTCACCTCATCATCTCCACAGCTCTCAGGAGAGAAAAGGCCCCGGACTGGGTTGCTTCACTCTGCAGGAAAATCATCCCAAGAGTGGGTAGTTTCTCTGCCGCTGCTCATCCTGATGTTCTCCCTGAGTCTAGGGCTCTTTTGGGCATCATGGGGGAGGAAGTATGTGCCGCTTGGGACATAGGTAGCTATGGGCAGGCACAGAAAAGGCACCACATGTCCCCACTCCGGTCAGTAGGACTGGTGGCCCGTCCACGGGCTTCAGGCCCTCCTTGGTCAGAAGGTAGAGCCTCACCAGGGACCCTCACCTTCCCATCCAGGAGTCTGTCTGCCTCCCACCACCACCCACGGCGCCCAGGTCACTCGCACCAAGGAGCATCCAAAGGCCAGCGCTGATTTGTCCTCAGTCCCCTCTCAGCCTCCCTCCCATGCTCATCAGGGCCCAAAACCCAGAGTGTTATGATAGCAGGGGACGGTGCATCAGCATTAACCTGAGTGTGCACACACTCGCCTGGGCTGCGACAGCATACAGGTTCAACTCCAACCCCGCTCCAACATTAGAGCAGGTGCCAGGAGGGACCACACAGTGGGAGCAGACACCCGCTTACTGCAGGGGAAGGGGAGACCTCCTGGGGCCTCAAGAGTACTGGGGGACCTTGGTTGCAACTGTGACCGGGGCAGCTTCAGTTGTGTCCTTGGAGCTACTGTCCTGCCAACTCAGGAGGGCCAGGACTCCCTCTTGTCCTAGGCTCCCATCAGCTGCAAAGTGTGCACAGCCTCAGCAGTGCCCTGTCTCTGTGTTTCCCCACAGAGGTGACGGGTGAAATGCAGGTTCACAGCAGCTCTGGCCAACCCTGCAAAACAAACCCCATGCTTCTGGGTCTGGTTTAATGAGCCCCAACTGCTCTCTAGTTAAGTATATTGCAGGATAACTGCAGGCAGTGAGGAGTGAGGTCAAGGCTTTGTAGAGGCTCCAGACCTGGGAGCGGGTCCCATTTAGCCATGAGAGGGTATGGGTGGCAGAGCTGGCTGCCTCAGGGACATGGGACACAGGCCTGGCTCAAAACTCTGCCAAGGTGGGGTGCCTCCAGGGGTGGATCGTAGTCCCCAGACCCAGCAATTAGGAACATCAGGCTCTGCGGTCACCCCTGTAGGGGGCAGATCTTGGAAATGCAGCCTCAGGAGGATTAGCACAGAACCTTCCTTCCAGACCCAAGACCTTGGAACTGTTAGCAGAGTGGGCACAGTGGCCCCAAAGCTAGCCAGGTCATTGAACTGGATGCCATTTGTGCTTCCCAACACAGGCCCCTGTAGCTTGACCCCAGCTTGCCTACCACCTCTACCTACCACCTCAAGCCCATCTTCTCCTCAGGGCCCCTCCCTGCCTGTCCCTTTGTGCCTGACTGAGCTGCTCCTTGCAGGCAAAAAAAATAAGGAAAAAACAGATGACTGAAGAGAAGTAAAGAATTGGAGATCATTAGCACATCCATAATCCCAGCACTTTGGGAGGCCAAGATCAGCAGATCACTGGAAGCCAGGAGCTCAAGACCAGCCTGGCAAACACAGAAAAACCCCGTCTCTACCAAAAATACAAAAATTAGCAGGCTTGGTGGCACTTACATGTAATCCCAGCTACTGGAGTGGCTGAGGCATGAAAATCATTTGAACCCCGAAGAAAAGGATTGCAGTGAGCCCAGAAGGCACCACTGCACTGCAGCCTGGGTGACAAAGCAAGATTTTGTCTCAAAAAAAAAAAAAAAAAAAACAAAGAACAAGAATGGGCGGGAGTTAGATGTTCTGCAACTCAACCTGAATCACAGATGACAGAGTACTTCGTTATTTTTCCATCAATCACTAAATCAGACAAAATCCTTGCTCTGGTCACCCAGGCTAGCAGTGCAGGTGGTGCCATTCTGAGGGCTTCACTCAACAAGGCAATCTTTTTCCTCTTCGGAGGTTCCCCCCAAAATTAAGTTTCATGGCGCCTCAGCCACTCCAGTACTGGAATCTCATACACCTGTAAAGTGCCCACCAACGCCTGCTAACTTTTTGGTCTTTTTGGGTAGGACGGGTTCTATTCTAGTGTATTGCAGGCTGTCTTGACTCCATTGGCCTCCAGTGATCTGCCTGATCTCGGCCTCCCAAAGTGCTGGGATATATGAGAGAATTGACTAACTAGATCTCCAATATCTTTACTTCTCTTCATCATACTGTTTTTTTTCACTTTTTTTTTTGCGACACTGCAAGCGAGCAGCTCAGCTCAGCGCACAAAGGGCACAGGCAGGGAGGAGCCCTCGAGGAGAAGAATGAGGCCTTGAGGAGGTAACGGATAGGAAGGCTGGTAGCGCAAAAGCTGGGGTCAAGCCTAACAGGGGCGCCTGCGTGTTGGAGGAACAGCACAAATGGCGCATCTCAGTATGTCAACTGACCTGGCTAGCTAAATATGGCGGCCCACTGGTGCCACTCTGAATAAACAGTTCCAAGGTCCCTGGGTCTGGAAGGAAGAGATCTTCTGGTGACTAACTCCTCCTGAGGCTGCATTTATCCAAGATCTGCCCCTACAGGAGTGACACCGCAGAGAGCCTGATGTTTACATTGACTAGGCTCTGCGGAAACTACGATCCACCTGGAGGACACACACCACCTCACTGGCAAAGAGTTTTTGAAGCCAGGCCTGTGTCCATCGGTCCCTGAGCAGCAGCCAGCTCTGCCACCCCATACCCTCTCATGGCCTAAATGGAGACCGCTCCGAAGGTCTGGAGCCCTCTAAACACAAGCCTTCTGACCTCACTCCTCCACTGCCCTGCAGTATTATCTGCAATATAACCTTCAACCTAAGAGAGCAGGATTGGGAGCTCATTAAACCCAGACCGCAGCCAAGCATGGGGGTTTGTTTTGCCAGGGTTCGGACCAGAGGCTGCTCGCCGACCTGCAATTTCACCCGTCACATCTGTGGGAAACACAGAGACAGGGCAACCTGCTGAGCGCTGTGCAGCACTTTTGCAGCTCTGATGCGAGCCCTAGGACAAGAGGAGTCCTGGCCCCTGCCTGAAGTTGCCAGAACGACAGATAGCTTCCAAGGAGCAACTCGAAGCCTCGCCCCGGTCACAGTTGCAACCAAAGGTCCCAGTACTCTTGAGCGCCCCAGGAGGTCTCACCTTCCCCTGCAGTAAGCGGGCGCGGTGTGCTGCCTCCACTGTGTGGTCCCGCCCTCTGCAACACCTGCTCTAATGTGGCAGCGGGGTTGCGAGTTGAACACTGTATGCTGCTCGCAGCCCACCCAAGGCGAGTGTTGTCAACCACGGTTAATCCTGATGCACCGCGTCCCAATGCATGATCATCAACACTCTGGGTTTTGGGCCCTGATGCAGCATGGAACACGGGAGGCTGAGAGGCGGACTAGAGTGACAAATCAGCGCCTAGGCCTATGGATTCGGGATGCTCTGGTGCGAGTGACCTGGGCGCCCGTGGGCTGGTGAAAGTGGAGACAGAGGCAACACAGACTCCTCGATGGGACAGGTGAGGGTCCCTGTGAGGCACACTCTCACCATTCCTAGACCCAGGACGGGCCTGAAGCCCGTGGACGGGCCCAACC